TCTAGAACTAGAATGTAAATGTTTTGACACAATGACTATGCAAATGACATGAAATTTATGTGAACCAGCTTGATGAAAGTATTTCAAAATGTATATGAAAACACTACACTGTACCCCATGTTTGCATTAATGTAATAATAATAATAATAATAAAATCTTAGCCAATAGTTACAGCTACACATTAAAAAAAATTATACATCATAATCAAGTAGGCTTCATTCCAGGGATGCAAGACTAGTTTAACATACACAAATCCATAAATGCAGTTCACCATATTAACAGAAGAAAAACAAAGACAATATGATCCTCTTAATAAATGCAGAAAAGGCATGAAATTTAGCATCATTTCCTAACAAGAACTCTTAAGAATATAGGCATAGGGTGACACCTGTGGCTCAAAGGAGTAGGCGCCAGCCCCATATGCTGGAGGTGGTGGGTTCAAACCCAGCCCCAGCCAAAAATTGCAAAAAAGAAAAGAATATAGGCACAGGTGGCACATTTAATAAAGTGTTTGGCTCCATCTTTGACAAATCCACAGCTAATATCACACTGAATGGAGTAAAACTGAAAACTTTTCCACGTAGAACTGGAACCAGACAAGGATATCCATTATGGCCACCATTATTCAACATTGTGCTGGAAGTTATAACCAATGCAACCAGAGAAGAGAAGGACATAAAGGCCATCCGAATGGAGGCAGAGGAGGCCAAACTCTTGCTCTTTGGTGATGATATGACCTTATACTTAGAAAACTCTAGAGACTCAATCACAAGACTCCCGGAAGTGATTAAAGAAATACAGTAACAGATCAGAGTATAAAATCAGTGCCCACAAATCAGTTGCCTTTGTATATGGCAATAACAGCCAAGTTGAGTTGTTAATCAAGGACACAATTACCTTCACAGTAGCTTCATAGAAAATGAAACACCTAGAAATACACGTAACAAAAGTGGTGAAGGACCTCTACAAAGAGCAGTATGAAACCCTAAGAAGAGAGATAGCAGAAGACATTAACAAATGAAAGAGCATACCATGGTCCTGGTTGGGAAGAATCAACATTGTTATAATGTCTGTACTGCCCAAAGCAATCTATGGATCCCATGCAATTCCGATTAAAATACCAACACCTTCGTTGCCTTCAGGGATTCCTATATTAGCCCATATCCCAAAATCCCAAAATCACAGATGCTGGCATGGATGTGGAGAAAAGGGAACACTTCTACATTGCTGGTGGGAATGCAAACTAATACATCCCTTTTGGAAAAATGTCTGGAGAACACTTAGAGAACTAAAAATAGATCTGCCATTTGATCCTGCAATTCCTCTACTAGGTATATATCCAGAAGACCAAAAATCACACTACAACAAAGATATTTTTACCAGAATGTTTATTGCAGCCCAATTTATAATTGCTAGGTCATGGAAGAAGCCCAAGTGCCCACCAACCCACGAATGGATCAATAAATTGTGGTATATGTACACCATGGATTACTAAGTAGCCCCAAAGAAGGACGGAGACTTTACCTCCTTCCTGTTTACATGGATGGAGCTGGAAAATATTCTTCTTAGGAAAGTATCTCAAGAATTGAAGAAAATGTATCCAATGTACTCAGCCCTACTATGAAATGAATTTATAGCTTTCATAGGAAAGCTATAACCCAATTATAGCCCAATAATATGGGGAAAGGGGAGAGGGAGGGCAGGGGATGGGGGAGGATGGGTGGAGGGAAGGTGATTGGTGAGATCACATCTATGGTTCATCTTACATGTGAATCTTTCTAAATGCAGAATATAAATGTCTTAACACAATAACTAAGAAAATGACACAAAGACTACATTAACCAGTTTGATGAAAATATTTCAAATTGTATATAAAAACATCACACTGTACCCCACGGCAGTATTAATGTACACAGCTATGATTTAATTAAAAAATAAAATAAAATACCAACACCATAATTTGAAGAAATGGATTTTTTTTGGGGGGTGGGGTGGGCATGGAACCAGAATAAACCTCCTATAACCAATGCAATTCTTAGTAATAAAAATAAAGTCAAGGGTATCACAATTCCAGACTTTAGGCTACATTACAAGTCTGCAGTTATCAAAACAGCATGGTATTGGCACAAAAATGGAGACATAGACAGAATAGAAAACCAAGAGATGAAACCAGTCTCTTATAGCCATATGATCCTTGATAAACCCAACAAAATCATACACTGGTGAAAAGAATCCCTATTCTATAAACGGTGCTGGGAGAACAGGATAACCACATGTGAAAGGCCGGAACTTGACCCACACCTTTCACCACTTCCCAAAATTATTTCAAGATGGATAAAAGACTAAATCTAAGTCATGAAACAATAAAAATCCGAATAAAGTATAGAAAAACCTCTTTAGGATCTGGGCCTATGGAAAGATTTTACGAAGAAGATTTCTAATTTTTTTTTTT